GCTAAGCAGAATACTGCCATAAGATCCCCACTGAACGAGACTTGCTAAAATGCGCCCACCTGACTCAACTGGAAACTAGGTGCCTGCTTGCCCCATTGAACCATTCCAGTGGAAGAAACAGAGGACAACCTGAACCCAGATAATGTAACTTACATCAGATATGAAACGGAATACCAATATGGCAATCAGATGTGTTGAAGAAAAGGAAGCTCTCTTGCATCGGCAAAACCCTGTAGGAGAGAGAAAGAGAGACACACAGACAAACAGCCAAACACACCACCTACCATTCCCATGAAACAAAAGCTGATTTTCATCATATGAGAAGAGGTACAAATGACAGAAAAACGTGAATCGTCAATAGAGGAGAAACTGATTTACAATAAAAGGGGAGGAAAAGGAACACTTGGAGCAGTCTGATTGCGGTTATTTCGTGAAGGCGGCTACTACCGCCCACAGGACCTCGTTCGTGTTGGCCTTCATACATTCCACTTCGGGATCTAAATCCAGGAGCTGCCGCACCCTTTTTGTAGCTAGGTCGTACTGCTCGTCCAGCAGCGGGGCAAAAGCGTTCTCAAGGACATCCGAAGCGTGGGCTAAATAAATGAGGGCCAGCAAGCGCTTGTCCATGCGGTGGGGGTCGTTGACCCATCTGTCAAGAACGGCTTCTTGGACTTTCTTAATGAGGCGCTGCTTAATGTTGTTGTTGGTGAGAGGGTGCGTGGTCATGTCAAAGAGAAGAAAGTTCTGTTTCTCCGTCGTCAAAACCCCCTTTTCCACTAGGTTTTTGGCTAATCGCTCCCGTACGTTTCGTAGCTGGTAGTGCAATTTTAATGGATTCCATGTCTCACCTGGGGGGGGGGGGCAACGAGAAATGTCATGTCAGTATCACGATAGCTAGCATATGTCAACAAACAAGGGTAGAGGAGGCATCAATTCTCCAGTGCCAAGGACACAGTTTTCACCTCAGACAGGGAAGAAAAAGCAAGCTTCTCTTCACTGCCATAAGAAGTGGTGGCGGTTACAAACACAGCCAACTTCAAGAGGGGATTGGATAAACATCTGGAGTAGAGATCCATCAGTGGCTATTAGCCACAAGGTATAGATAGAACACTCTGTCTGGGGCAGTGATGCTCTGTATTCTTGGTGCTTGGGGGCAACAGTGGGAGGGCATCTGGAGTTCTGGCCCCACTGGTGGACCTCCTGATGGCACCGGGGTTTGGCCACTGTGGGACACAAGAGTGTTGGACTGGATGGGCCATTGGCCTGATGCAACGTGGCTTCTCTTATGTTCTTAATGATCAACTATACAAGATGCTCTAGGCCGGAGTACTCCAAGGGGTGTGCTAGTCCTTTTTAAGGATAGAGGGCAAGTCTATCTTGTGCCACCTGGCTAACATGAAGATAAGAGTTTTTTTAGGAATGGGCCAGAATACACCTTCAGGGGAAGAGAACAAAAATATCTCCCACTTTCAAAGGGGGGGAAGAAGAAGAGAAGAAGAGATTGGATTTATACCAAGCCCTTCACTTGGAGTCTCAGAGTGGCTCACAAACTCCTTTCCCTTCCCCTCCCCACAACAGACACCCTGTGAGGTGGGAGGGGCTGAGAGAACGCTGACACAAACTGCTCTTTTTCAAGGACAGCTGTGCCAGAGCTTGTGACTGACCCAAGGTCCCATCAGCACGTGCAAGTGGAGGAGTGGGGAATCAAACCCGGTTCTCCCAGATTAGAGTCCGCACACTTAACCACTACACCAAACTGGCTCTGCCCATAGTGATACAGGTTTCAAATAGCCCTTAGAACACTAGCCAGAAAATGCACTACTTGATTGCTGGGAACCAATGGCTGAGTCCTAGGAGCTAACCGGCTGTGTGGCACCAAGGAGGTACATAACTAATGCAGTCATCATGGTTTCTGCTGTTATAAAATTTTACTGGTTCTCCCTATTTCCCAGTGCAAAGAACAAGAGAGTGGCCACTTTGCATCCATACACAATAACAACCAATGACACATTTCCAGAAGTAAGTTAGTGGCTAGAAGTTATTAACCAATAAGGAAGTTTCTTGCTATCTCCCATGCAAAGTCCCTTCTAAGCGAGAGGTGAGACTGATTAAAACTTAGGTTAGCCCACTCTCCAAGACCTGACTTTGTAGGCCATGGGACAGACAATAAAAACATTCTTCTTATGCTGGCTTTAAAACTGCAGCTTATAAAGAACTCACTTCTTATTGCTCACCCCTTTTATTCTATTTTTATTGAGGTGTATTTAAATGTTATAAGCTGCCTTGAGGATTTAACAGAAAAGGTACACATACTTAAATACAAGGAAAAATCACACATTTTAAAGTACAAGGAATATATAAATTGTCAAGGCATCTCATTCAGCATAACTGTGTGCTCACCCCCCCCCCCCTGTTTTATTTGGAGTAATTCGGATACCTTCACGTCGAGGGATACTACTTATACATGAAGAAAAGTACATCAGAGAAATGTCACTCTCTTGATGGAAATTTCCAGCCAAACTCTTAAAAATATATTATTTAAAGTGCTTAAAAATATGCTAGGTGCTTTCATAAACCATGCTTTGCCCCACAGGCTTATGATCTAAGACCCTATAAAGAACTCTTAGGCAGTGTTCCCTCTCCGGCTCACACATTTTTGTCTTGGCTCAGGAAGGATGGCTCCAGAGCAAACTAATTTATGCAGCAGCCAAATTGCTCACTCACAACTTTAATGGCAGTAGCTCACAAAGTAGAATTTTTGTTCATAAGACTCCAAAGCTTAGAGGGAACATTGTTCTTAGGATAAACTGAAGGAGACAAAACTTTGCTCCAGCAAGAACACAATGAACATTTTCCTTCAGGAGCTTGGTGACACCTTGTGACGAAAACTCTTAACTACAAGAGCCTTTTGAACAACAGAGTCAGGCTGCTGTTCTGTCATGTTCAGGGAGACCAGCCCTTTATTGCATGCATATTCTGTAGGTGAACTGTAAGGCCACTGCTTCTGAATTATAGTATACAAGACTGGGACCCGCGATACTCGCGGGGGGGAGAAGAGCTCCGTCTCCTCCTTCCCCCCCCGCTCGATGTCCCGAGGCGGAGGCAGCGGTGGAGAGGCCGGTCCTTCCCCGCCCGCCCACTGGCTTCTGTCTCTCTTCCCCCCAAGGAAGGAGCAGGTACTCTCTCTCTCTCCCCTCCTCTCTCTCTTTCTGCCCCCCCCACCGGCTCCGACCCGAGGGCCGCGAAGCCGCGTGGGCCTCGGCTCAGTCTCTTTCTGGCTCTCTCCCCCCCCTCACCGTCTCTGAGGCACCTCGCACTCTCTCTCTCCCCACCCCCCGCTCCGCCGGCGGCGTTCCAGAGCGTCCCCTGCGCAGGCGCAGGAGACGCTCTGTGACTTTCGGGGGGATTTAAACATCCCCCCGATTTTTTCCCCAAAGGTTTCGCATTTTTGTGCACCCCTGGGGACTGCCCCAAGAGTGCACAAAAATCTCCCTGCCCCCCAAGTCGCCCCGGAGCGCGGATTTAGCGATCCGCACTCACGGGGCGACTTGGCTATTAGTATAAGGATTTTACCAAGCATCATAGTGTGGCAGTTTTAAGTTTGGATGATTGCAAAACCTGATTAGATTTTGCAATTTGAACAGGGCACCCCAACACTCACATTCAAACTGCACCACAGATCAGACTCACTTCTGATGAACAGTCCTACCAAGACATTCATATTTTACCCACCTCTTGGTCTACAGAGATCAAAGACCATGGGGAGGATGTACTCGTGTGCTGCAGTGACGCCTTTGGCAAGTCATTGGGCGGCATATGCCAAGGCCTCTGAACTGCAAGACTGCACAAGTGCACTCTTAAGGCACTCAAAAATTATTTTAAAATGATTTTAAAATGATTTTTAAATTTAAAAAATTAAAATCTAAAATTTTTTTAAAAATATTTTAAGTGCTAACTGAGCTCCTCTGAGTGTACCATCTCCATTCCAAGAGCTTGATGGCACTTAGAGAGAAGTAATTAGGTTCTCTAACTTCAGGGAATCCCAAGAACGTGGCAATGCCAATGTCACTAAACAGCAAGACAGCATAAGTGTCAACAAGTGTGTTCCTATGGCACTTAGGAAAAAATAGCCCAGTGTCCCTCTGTAGGCAATGAAAGGAAAAAAAAAACCCAAACAGATGTTAAAAAGGTGGTGACGGGAGGGAAGGGGTCGATCATTCCCCTTCTCTACTCCTGGGCTTCTCTTCCATCAGAGTTCATGCACTCTGACAGAAGACCTTTGGATCTCTCCAGGAGTAGAGAAAGTCCAGATCTGAGACAAGACGGAACTGTTCATTCACCTGGATGTTTAGGACTGAACATATTGAACCAAATTCTGCAAAGGCGTTCATGCTGTCGTAGTAGGGCAATTAACAGTGCTTTCATCGCAAGTACTGAACTGACCCCCACCATACACACAAGGACATGATCTGCTGGGAAATGCAGGGTCACTTTAGGGCAGACAACAGATGTACCCAGAAAGGGGCAGAAACCTCAGGTGCTAACTGACCTCAGCATTAGCTCTGTCCAAGGGCGCTCTGCATACTGAGAAGGAACAATGTCTCTGGACTGCACCACCACTTCAACTCTAAATAATTTCCTTCATGAAGAAATTTCTCTCACGTGAAAAAAAAAAGTTTCTGGCTAGGGGTGTGCATTTGGCTCAAGTGAGCCGAAAAAATACCATATCGGTATTTTCTGGTATTTTTCCGGCCTATTAGTGAGTGAGCCATTTACTTGGCTATCTGAAAATGGCCATCCTAAAAATTCCCGAAATATTCGGGATTTTTGGGGGCCACCGAATAGCCACAGTTACAGTTCATTTCAGAGTTCACTCGCTGCAGCATGTCCCTTTAAGTTCCTTTTTTCTCCACTGGAAACAATGGAGGATGGGGGCACCATCTTCTGGAGCTCATAGAATTGGACCCCCTGGTCTGATATTGGAATTCGGGAATATCGGGAAATACTGATATTTTTCAGATTCAATATACCTGAACCTGAAAAATACTGAATTTTTTGTGTGTGTGCGCAAACTCATAGTTCTGACCTAAGCTTCCCCATATCTTCAGAGTTTTCTCATGCAGGAAACTGTTTTGTACAGAGGGACATTCAACTATTCGAGCTCCTGCCTGCAGCGATACAGCCCAGACAAGGTTTATCTTCACTTCAATGAGAGTCAAGTCTTAAATAAGAATGAGCAAATTTCCATCAGCAGAAACCTAGTTGGGGTCTGTCTTTTGCAACACAAAAAAGGGACTGTGGGTATTTCATGAATGTATGCATTTGCTTGGGAGCAGAAACATGGTACACACCTTGGCAACCTACGAACAGCATCTTATGTTTAAAACAAATCATAATCCAGAGAGAATGTGGGTACATGCAGGCAGAGCTTAGTGTACCTGGGAGCTGTGCACGGTCTTCAGTTATCAGCGCTGCAGCTCACATGCCCTGCTCAATCCCTCCTCCCCTCAATGGCATCTCCTCTCAGGTTCTCCTAAACGAATTTCCCCATGAAAATATCCCAGTGCCTCATCTATTTTCAACACATGCTAAGGCTATGTTGTCAGGAGCAGCTCAGGATTTCATGGCCTCTATGACAACCATGGACCTGTCTCAGGTAATAACCAGTCCTACACATTGTGCTGGTTAAACTCCTGATCTAGTATTTTGTTCTGGGAAGGATGAACATGATACGAGGGGGCAAGAATTGGTGATGGTTTCTTTTTTTGTGAACAGATCCCACTCTTTGCTTGGGTTTAGACTTAAAGGGATACCAGAATTCTGCAGGGGTGGGATATCTATTGAATTGATCCACTCCACAGCTATGTGAATCCAAATGGCTTTCTGATGGCTCTAGAGGATATCCTGTTGATATGGCTGGTGATTCTGTCCATGCCCTGGGATGAATGAGGAAATAACTTAGGTGGTTGACATGGTTATTTCCAGGTTGCCCCCTCTCGAGTATTGGAGCCCAGATAGCCTCTCAGTTTACTGAGGGGGTCGCAGGCAATGAAAAGACGAGGGAGACAGCTACAGCAACAGTAGAAAAACACTCCGGACAAACGCAGTAAGATATGGGATAAAGGTCATTACTCCATGGCAGTGATGGTGGCAAAGAAACAACATTTTCCTGCCACCATTGCATTTACTACCATTGCATGTAGGCCAGCGGTGCTGTTCTAGATGGTCAGAGGCTTGTTGGGATCTGGCCTGCAGAAGGAGGTGGAACTGGCTGGTGGGCCCACTGTGACTTTTTTTGCACTTTGTGGCCAAAATCTCTCACATCCATATCAACTTGGACTCCCCATTGGCTGTGACAGGGTCACATGGTGTCAGGATACCAACTTTGTCCAGTTGTTGGGGATACTTTACAGGGTTTTTTTAAAGTCTGTGGATCAAAGGATACAGAAATGACACTTGCAAGCTTGAGGCCTACCACCTGCATGTATGACCCTTGTCCTTCCTGGGACCAACATACCTGAAGACTGGCCAACTCCCTTATGAAGTTACTCAACCACCACGGTCATCTTCAGAGGCCCTGCTTCATGTGTCCTCACCTTCTGAGATTAGGCAAGTGACAATCCAGGACAGAGCCTTCTTGGAAGTGGCACTAAAAATCTGGGACTCTCATCTGCCCCCTTCTGTTGTCATCTTCCGCTAACAGGTGAAGACTTTTCTTTTTGTTTGGTGTTCCCTCACTGATCCCTCCTTCCTGCCCTATGTTTTTATTGTTGTTTTTATAGAACTACCTTAGCTTTGGTTTTAATAATGTGTTCTTTGCTTGTTTTAACTTTTTTAATATGTGATTTTATTATGTATGTTTTTAGTCTGTTAGCTCGCTTTGGTGGCCCTTGTGAGGGCAGAAAGGTGGATATAAATTCTGTAAATACACACACACTTCTTCAAGTGCTCACTCGGAAGCCCTGCAAAGTGGGCCAGTATTTCCAATTATAGTTGGCAGGATTAAGACAGAACATGTACCTTTTTTATAGTGAAAACGTGGTGTGCATCAGGATTTCCAGCAGTCAACTCCATTCTCTTTGTTACTATTTAACACCAGCTGCTCCGATAAAAACATCTGACAATGAACTCAAACAACAGAATCCAATTTTCCTGAGCTCACTGCGTACGCAGCACTGCCACGGGAACTTCAAAAGTTTTTCTCTACCTGCCTCATAGCTGCAAAGTAAGGACAGGAGCAAGAGAAAACCAGATGCACCACACTAAGGATGCCATCCTTACTCACCACCATTAAAGTCATTGTGCTGCACGTGCAGGCTATTTAATAAGAACACAAGAAGAGCCCTTCTGGATTGGGCCAGTGGTCCATCCTGTCCAGCATCCTGTCTTACACAGTGGTCAGCCAGTTCCTCTGGACGGCCAACAACAGGGCACAGAGGCCGAGGCCTTCCCCGATGTTGCCTCCTGGCTCTGGGATTCAGAGAATTGTGTGGGTTCCCCCTCTATCACCATGGCTGGTAGCCACTGATAGACTCATCCTCCATGAATCTGTCTAATCCCCGTTTGAAGCTGGCTGTGCCTGCGGCCATCACTACATCCTCTGGCAGTGAATTCCACATTTTAATCACTCTCTGTGTAAAGAAGTATTTCCTTTTGTCCATTCTGAACCTACTGCTACCGCTGCAGCGCACTAAGTTGATGCTTCCATTAAGCTACCCACTACGACCCCAAGATCTTTTTCCATCTCAGTTTCAGCTGGTTCCAGTGTTCCCTCTAAGCTGAGTTAGTGTGAGCTAGCTCACAGTTTTTTAGCCTCCAGCTCACTCATTTTTGTCTTAGCTCAGGAAGGATGGCTCCAGAGCAGACTAATTTGTGCAGTAGCCAAATCACTCACCCACAACTTTAATGCTGGTAGCTCACAAAGTAGAATTTTTGCTCACAAGACTCCACAGCTTAGAGGGAACATTGGTTCAGACCCCATTAGCCTATACCTGAAGTTGGGACCTTACACTTGCCAACATGGAACTTCATTTGCCACATTGTTGCTCACCCAGTTTGTGGAGTTCCTCTTGGAGGTCTTCATAGTCAGCCTTGGTTTTCACCACCCTGAATAATTTTGTGTCATCTGCAAATCTGGCCACTACACTACTACACCAGTTTGGTGTGAGAGCCAGTTTGGTGTAGTGGTTAAGTGTGCGGACTCTAATCTGGGAGAACCGGGTTTGATTCCCCACTCCTCCACTTGCACCTGCTGATGTGACCTTGGGTCAGTCACAAGCTCTGGCAGTTTGTGTCAGAGTTCTCCCAGCCCCACCCACCTCACAGGGTGTCTGTTGTGGGGAGGGGAAGGGAAAGGAGATTGTCAGCCGCTCTGAGACTCCAAGTGAAGGGTGGGGTATACATCCAATCTCTTCTCTCTTCTTCTTCTACTCACCCCTCGTTCCAGATCATTGATGAATAAATTATATAGTACTGGCCCTAATACTGATCCTTGTGGGACCCCACTGCTTACTTCCATTGTGACAATTGTTTATTGATTCCTACTCTTTGCTTCCTGTCATTTAACTAGGTTTTTATCCATAAGAGAACCCGTTTTCTTATCCCATGACTGCGTAGTTTACTCAGGAGTCTTTGGTGAGGTACTTTGTCAAAAGCCTTTTGAAAGTACAGATATATAATGTCTACCGGGTAACAGTAGTCTACATGCTATGGAAGGCAGAAAACTGAATAAAGGAGGAACAGAAGGAACTAAGAACACAGGACGTACTCAGATCACACTTGGACTCATTATTCATATAACAAACAGTCATTCAACTACACCGCATATTCTGAATTCATACAGTAATTATATCCGAACAGATTTTTTCCACACCCCCTCCCAAATTTGGTGATCTAGTAGTCTGCCACACAAGCTTTACCTATTCCAGTGAAAGCAAATTTTTTGTTTCCACATCCAGGACAGAACTGCAGACAGAATATCACCGAGCAACTAGGCTTACTGTTTCAATATAAATGGAAGCCCATTCCAAGAGAAATATAGTTCCGTACTAAACCCTGATCCACTTTCTTCACTGCACTGAGAGATCCACAACAGACTTGCATGAATAACCATTATCTTCCAAAGGGTAAATTACAGCACCGACCTTTGTGACTTAGAGAGTCATTCCTAAATCAGGAACACTTTGTATGTTTTTGAACCATGTTTCACAATACAACACCTCATTGCCTGTTTTTCAGTGCAATGACACCAGAGCTCGCCGTTCCCGTAGAGGCATACGGTATAAATCATCTTCTCAATACACATCCTGGTATTCAGAGTACACAAATATTAGCGATGCACTCTAAGGGGTTTACCATTAGGCAGGTAGGTAGCTTAAGGGTCTTTAACTCTATTCTGTCCTATGTAGCATTAGGCACAGTAATTTAGTCTTCCATTTAAATACTCAAATTCCAGGGGGTCTAGATCATGGTAATGTTCAGCTTCTTCAAAAAGAGTTCGGACAACCAACAGTCTCCAGATATTGACAGAACATACAGTTTAGCATTTTCTCCCAGAAAAAGTCTGTACGGGGTATATCATGTGACTGGGTGTATTAAAAGGCTTGGAAAGCAGATGAAAGAAATAGAAATTCAAGTAATAGATGCTTGACTCAGAGAATGCGGCAATGCTCATGCAATGGCTGTAATGTGCATACAATGGCATGACTGTGATGGAGAGCATTACTGAGCACAGAACCAGGATACAATCTTTAGCCAGGCCATACAACTTCCCACCTATTATTCCTATGGAACGCATTTGACCATAAACACAGTGTTGGTTTCATTTCAAGGAGTTAATTCTTGTTGTGGCCTGTTGATAGTGTGCTTGCCATGGTAGCTTTGGTTTTAATTCCCAAAGCTGCAGGATTCCTGAACAGGTAGCTATGAAACTGCTAGGGACACAGAGTAATTTAGAGAGCTTAGTTATTTGTAAGTAGACAGACTGGAGGTGAGTAGGAAGGTAGACTACTCCACAACTTATTATCTCTTTCCACTATGTGTCACGTTTTTCTTACTCTGTGTTATTATGTTCTGTTTGTTTTCTTTGCTTACGAGTTATATTGTGCTGAGTAAGCCATTTTAGTCAAATTACTGAGTCTGCAAATGCTCCTTACTGGTCAGTGTTCACCCACTGGGGAAAATTAGGGCCCAGATTTTCAGTGACGGCACTCGGTAACTAACAATTGCTCATCTTCACCTCACCTCCAGAACAACTGGCAAAATAATGGGTCGCATGGATACTCATACATTCAACTATGTGACATACAAACATTAATTTTGTTAAATTCATCATGGTAACCCAGATTCTGAAGGAAGTGTAGGAATAGGGTAAGCCATAGGCTTGAAATCTTCTCTTTAAAAACCCAGTACTGCACTGCAGTCCAAACTAGTGTAAGCAATGTAAAAGGTTAATTTTCTTCTGGATATGTCTTACCACTGAGCAGCTCTATCCAGTTCTGCACTGTTTCAGGAGGCTGCGTCTCTTTAATGTGCTTCAGGGCTTCATCTAGTAGAACGTCCCCTGTAGGAGCATCCGACTTGCAGATAACCTGGTGGGAAATACAAGAGTTCACTCCAGTACCTCAGAATGCTACTGTTGGCTTCTTAAACGCCAAGCAGAGTAAATAAGTATGCCTGCAAAACTGTAGCAGTGCTTCTTTTTATACCGTAAGACACAACGAAGGAATACTGTGTTGAATTCAGTGGAAATTTCCACTGTTCTGGTCTGCAGTGGGAGAGGCAGACTAGGAAGACCCACTACACCGATGGAAATAACATCTGTCAGTAGAGATTTTCCAACCCACTGCTTCTCCTTGGGCCAGCGCTGCAACTTTCTGGAAATGTAACTCAGCGTCCTGATAATTCTTTTGAACAGAGTTCAAACCTACTGCTCCCAGACCATGCATTTACTTTGGGACTATAAAGCTAGCAACCTCGTTAGCTTATACACCAACACCTTTAGTGTTGCAGCGACAGAACCACAAATGCTGTGATTCAACACATTACTCAGTGCATTCTGTACAATTTTAATGTAGAACTTCATTACATAGGTAACTATACTTAAATTTTTACATCTTACAATGCTTAAATGAAACACACAGGAAATGTCCAGGTGTACCTACACTAACATTATGGTGTCGCAAGACATGGGAAATATATATAATGGATAAAATTACTTATCAGGTGAATCAATATGAGTGTCACCCGTCTAGTTCCAATTTTGCTGAAGTCTGGTCGATTATACTAGATTACCTGTTGTAGCTTGAAGTGGTTCCGAAGAACTTAAAATCTTTAATATATGTGTACATATTTGCTATTGCTTGAATTTTGTGAATGTGAATGTTTTAACTGTAGGTTGGTTTGTACTGTATATGTGTTGTGTATATATATTGTTTATAAAACGTTAATTTAAAAAAATAAATAAAGCACACAATGAAGATCTTAAAAAGACTACAACCACAGCTAAAACTCTCTACAAAGCATTCATTAGTGTTAATGAAGCAAAAAGTCTTCAACAACCTTCTATAGACGAACAAGTAAGGATGCGAACCTATCAGGACAGGGAAGCCTCCTTCACAGGGAACAATCTAACAGTATTACTGTGTCTTCTGGAACCCTGAAGCCGTATCTTATAGCGCACTGACACGTGAACGGGCTTGTGCAATGAACACACTCCAAGAGTAACAGAGATCTAAGCCAGAGAGTGACAGAAGCAAAACAACAGAAGACAAAACACGATTGCTGAAGACACATTCGCCCCGCAGAGAGCACTGCACTCTATGAATAATAATTTTCTGGTGGTCCCCAGACAAACAACTATTTGCCTAGCCTCAACCCAGGCCAGAACCTTCTCAGCTCTAGCCCCAGCCTGGTGGAATGCCCCTTCCAGATGAAATCTGGGCCCTGCAAAATCTGGCCCAGTTCCGCGGGGCCTGTAAAACAGAAATGTTTCACGGGGCATACGGATGAGGCAGCAAAGTTACCATCTAAATTGGCCTCCCTCAGTCCCCTCCCCGCTATCCATCCTGTCACTCCACTGACACACAGGCTGCTCAACCTCACTTTGGATAATTTCCGCTATTAGTGCCGAAGTCGCCATCTGTTTTTAATTTTGATTTGTTACTATGTTCATTCAGTTTTAACAAACTATTTATGACACTGTTTTTAACTTCTTGTTACCCGCCCCGAGCCTTGCTGTGCAGGGGAGGATGGGCTAAAAGTCCAATAAAATAAATAAAAAGAAATATTCAGAACTGACCAGAGGAATGGAGTTAACCAGCAATGCTGTGGTAAAAATCTAGACACTGTTAGTGGAGGGGATTGATATGAACCAACAGAATGTGGAAATTCTGAGATCTGGAGAGAATGAAAGGAAAGAGTGGAGGATGACCCCCCTCCCCTGCTCAATGCAAAATCCCTCTGCTCTTTGCCTGGGACCCAAGAAAGGGAGCGGCACCCCTACTGCCAAAGGTATACACCCCACTGTCCCCAAGTTCAATTTGAGATATCAGCAAGGAGGAATTTAGAGAAGAGAGAAGAGATTGGATTTATACCCCGCCCTTCACTACCCAAAGAAGTCTCAGAGCGGCTTACAAACTCCTTTCCCTTCCCCTCCCCACAACAGAGACACCCTGTGAGGTAGGTGGGGCTCAGAGAGCTCTCGAAAGAAACTGCTCTTATCACGAACAGCTCTAATCAGAACTACAGCTTGCCCAAAGTCATCCAGCCAGGTGCAAGTGTAGGAGTGGGGGATCAAACCCGGTTCTCCCAGATTAGAGTCCGCGCACTTAACCACTACACCAAACTGTGCGAGGAGCTGTAAGTCGGTGTTAGAGCATCTGCTTTGCATTCAAAAGGCTCTAAGTTCTTCCAGTTTTCTCCCCTCTTTACCTATGAGGGAAGGGGGGGTCCCTTTGCTACAATGGAATGTGGGGGGGGGGGAAGCACAAGAGAAAGTTACACCCCTTCTGCACAAGCTATCTAGCCTTACTGATGTGGGGAAATGCAGAAGCGGATTTCTCCTAGGAGTCCTTTGCCACTCAGAGCAACGCAGGGAATACACCACTGACCATCAGCATCTATGAGATCAAACAGGGTCATGAAGTTTTGTGGGCTGTTTTCTCTTGGATCCCAAAGAGTGGAGTAATCAAATCAGCTGCTCTGCATGTACCCTCACACCTTCAGAGAGGACCAGACTATCAGCAGCCACTCACTACAGGCTGAAAAGAGTGTGAAGCCGTCAGATTCTAAGACAAAAGCATCTTCCTCCTTTAAATGAGAAGAAGTAATAGAGGAGCCTCAATGACTGCTGGTGGGATCTGGATCAACAGCAGCTCTTTGAGCAACAGGAATCTCCAGACAGGTTCTGTAGACTTCAGGATCAACCCTGTGGTAGCAGGCAGTGATGCATGTGAAGTAGTGTACACCACCGTCAAGACCAAGGACTGCATAGCCAGTCCTGAAAGAGAAGTGTTGGAGGTGGAAAACGTGAAGCTGCAGCCAACAGGATGGAGGGCAGACGATCATGCACTGAAACCCATGGCACGTGCTGCATGAAAAGCTCAGAGGTAAGTAGGAGGCTCCTGCCGGAATGGTCTTGGCGCTCCCATTACTAAATAAGGACAGCATTCAGAATCAATCCAGGGGATCCAGACCATACTCAAGATACTGAGACCGATGATGTTGCCCTCCAGGTCCCTGATAATGAATGCTTGGCAGAGTCAGGATCTGATGGGTTGGAAATCTATCCCCAGGAGACCTCTAGTGGTGGTTCAGGGTGTGGTGGACGGGGAATATTCCAAGGGGATTCTTCCAGATTGAAAGGGAAAATGGAAATAATTAACTCAGCAGCCATCTCTCTCTCTCTCTCACACACACACACACACAAACACATATACACATCCCCTGGTCAGGCCCTTCATGGAGGCACAAACTCTCTGCCTGGAGTCTCTTCTGTTTCCAGTTTGGAGTGCTGGTTAAAAGCAGCAGACTCTAATCGGGAGAACCGGGTTTGATTCCCCACTCCTTCACGTGAAGTCAGCTGGGTGACCTTGGGTCAGCTACAGTTCCTTCAGAGCTGTTCTCTCAAGAACAGTTCTCTCAGAGCTCTCTCAGCCCCACCTACCTCACAGGATGTCTGTTGTGGGGAGGGGAAGGGAAGGTGATGCAAACTGCTCTGAGACTCCGCGTGAAGGGTGGAGTATAAATCCCACTCTTCTTCTTCTAATCCCCTCAAATCACACTTAACAGAGGTAAATTCCTTGATAAACAATCTAAATGCACACTTTGTAGTCTGAGAAGTGGTTAGCAGTCTTCATAAATGCAGTCCTTCCACTGAAAACTGCCCTGCAAATATGTACATTCTGATGAAGAAAGAATATTTAATAAAGGAATTCTATTTCACAAAAATCAACTTGCTAAAAATAGGATTTATGTTTTAATTTGCAGTCCAGCAACAGAAATTGCCAAACTATTAAATTAACAAAGAAGGACACAGTTAATTCTCTAGAGCTAAGATGAAAACACCACACTGTCCTCTGGAGTTCCACAACTACAGATAAGCTTTGATCAGATGCCCTGTACATTAGGTTCCTTAGAATGAGATGCCAGATTACCACACTAACCTGAAGAAAAATCCAGACACACACCAAAAGATCACAAAATACTGTACAAGTTTACTAGGGAGCTCAAAAGCTTACACACTGTATTGGCTGATCCTCATAGGAGGCTTTTGTTTTAGATATTACTTAGAATCTGTTTACATTTGCCTTGCTTGAAGATGTTACAAACAATAAATAAAGGGACCATGATGAAATATAATACTGTAGCAAAACAAAGACCATGCAAAATCTATATTAGTGCTTTTGAATCATATTCTACAATAGTTCCACAAAAAGTAAAATAGTTTGGAACAGCACACAATATGTGATCAACAATCAATACATATTACACTTCAGTGTGAAAAGTCCTTATTACAAAGTTCCAAGAAGACTCCAGGCAGCCAATGCACTATTACGGAGTGTCAGTGGGCTTTTTTAATCTTCGTCAGAACCAATTAAATGGAACTGAATTGCAAAAAAGAAAAAAGAAGAGTACAAAACAATATAACCAATAATTATGACAAAAAAGAGAAATGACATATTTACAACTATTTTTCAGGGATTAGAATAATTTACCCAAAGCCTTCAATAAGTAAACATAACAGATCAAAAACGCTTCATCGCAAGCTTAACAGCTGCCTAGTCAATTTCAAATCTACAATGTGGTTCTCGGCCACATACGGGTTGACTAACACCTTTAAAGGCACAGTAACAAATTATTTACTGAAGTGTAATATGTACTGATTGTTGATCACATATTGTGTGCTGTTCCAAACAACGGTATTTTTTGTGGAATTAGTGTAGGGTGATTGTAGCGTGATTCAAATTTTGCACAGTGTTCATTCTGCTACATTGCTTGAAGATGTGGCAACCTTTACAAACACTAAATAGGATTTGGAACACCAGCCAGCTGCTGTAAGATCTTGTAGCTGACCCTTGGCCCCACCCCTTTCATACAGGTATTTGCCTACTCCAGAACCACCAATTTCAGGAGGAGTGTTGAAAGAGTCGGCTTGAAATGATGAGACAGGAGATCCTACAACTGATGGATAAATTAAAAACTGACAAATCACCGGACCCAGATGGTATACATCCAAAAGAACGCAAATGTGAACTTGCGGATCTCCTGACAAAAATATGCAATCACTAAAACCTGCCTCCATTCCAAGGACTGGAAGGTAGCTAGCGTAACCCACATCTTTTAAAAAGGTTCCAGAGGAGACCCAGGAAATTACAGGCCAGTCAGTCTAACGTTGATACCGGGTAAGTTGGTGGGATCTGTTATTAAAGATAGAATTAGTAGGCACATTGATGAGCAGAAGCTTTGGTGATAAGGGAATAGGTAACACAAGGTGAACAGCTACTTGTGGGCAGTTTTGGGATGGATGAAGGCTAACAAGCCGCAAATTAATCCTGACAAAATGGAGCTGCTACTGGTGGGGGGAAGGTTTGACCCAGGAATATCTCCTTTTCTGAATGGGGTTGCATTCCCCTTAAAGGAACAGGTTTGGAGCTTGGGGGCACTGCTGGACCTGGGCCTCCTGCTGGATAAACAGGTGGCAACAGTGGCCGGGGGCACCTTTCACCAGCTTTGGCTGGTGAGCCAGCTGCAGCCTTTCCTGGGTGGGAAAGACCTTGCCACCAGTGTTCCCTCTAAGTTGAGTTAGTGTGAGCTAGCTCACAGTTCTCTTAGCCTCCAGCTCACACATTTTTGTCTCAGCTCAGGAAGGATGGCTCCAGAGCAAACTAATTTATGCAGTAGCCAAATCACTTGCTCAAAACTTAAATGCCAGTAGCTCACAAAGTAGAATATTTGCTCACAAGACTCCACAGCTTAGAGGGCGCATTGCTTGCCACTGTGGTGCATGCCCTGGTAACGTCCAGATTAAAGCACTGCAATGCGCTCTACATGGGGCTGCCCTGAAGACTGTCCAGAAGTTACAGTTAGTACAGAATGGCGTAGCAAAAATGTTCACTGGCGTGGGTTGCAGAGGCTATATCACTCCAGTCTTGTTACTTCAGCACTGGCTTCCAATTTGCTTCTGGGCCCGATTCAAAGAGCTGATATTGACCTATAAAGCCTTATACAGCTTGGGGCCGCCGTATCTTAAGGATTGCCTTCCCCTATATGAACTTACCTATCTACTCTGGAAAACTTTGGAGACCTCGCTTTGGCCGCGCAGCCATCTGACGCTAGATACATGACAACTCAAAAGGCCTTCTCGGTTGTGTTACCAAAACTTTGGAACCCCCTCCCCAGGGACATTTTTCTTTCTCCTTCAGTCACTGTCTTCCACCAGGAGGTGAAGAGTTTTCTGTTTCCTCTGGAGTACCCCCAGTAAACTTTAATTGTCCCCTCCTCCCCAAGGTATCTTGTGTTTGTTTACACATTCTGATGCCTTGCTGTTCCGCCACCCTAGGGATCGTATTTGGATGGAAAGGTGACATAATAACGTTTATTAAATAAATATGTAAATACAAGTTTTCCATAGGCCACGGGTCCTGATACACTGGGATCCCTGAGCTGCAATTCTGTTACTGGCTTGACCCCGGAGCTTGGATTTAATTTTTTTTTTTTAAATCCTCAAAAGTTGAGGTTTTTCCAGTCCTTGTTTCAGAAGGGAAAAACTACTGCTTAAATCTAGGGCAATCTTTCTGCTTATTTTATGTTCATGACACACATAACCAACCAGTGCTCCCTCAAAGCTGGGTTAGTGTGAGCTAGCTCACAGTTTTTTGCCTCTGGCTCACACATTTTTTGTGTGATAACTCCAGAGCAAACTAATTTATGCCACAGCCAAACCACTCGCTCACAACTTTAATGCCAGTAGCCCACAAAGCAGAATTTTTGCTCACAAGACACCACAGCTTAGAGGGAGCATTGAACACAACTGTGAAAAAAATATCTTTATCTCTGTCAGAGGAATAAAACAATGAAGGGAAGCTTCAGGCAAAAATCCAATGGAGCAGAGTCTACAGGTAATGGAAGAACAGAACCACATCTGCTCTTCTGACATCCATGCACTGTTTGAGATATTTACACAGAAACTACAAATGTGGAGCCCAGTAAGCATATGCTTAATGCACATAAGCTCTAACCATTGAAAATCTGCAGAATGACCATGTATATGAACCTCCATAAATTGAACTCCAATCCCAACAAATGCATCTCTGGTGGGTTCCCCTACCACACAGATGCTCTGCAGCTGGAGACTTGTCTTATACCTTAAATTATATAGAAACTATAAGGCGATTTGCTTCGTCAGATGCGTTTTCCGAATAATACATATTCTAGACCTTCCTTAAAAGTACTTCAGTGAAACACTTAGAAAGAAAGTCATGTCATGCAAGTGATTAAGGGCTTTGGTATTTCAAGAAACATTCCTGCATGTCTGCTAAACCGAGGAACTCTGGAAGCTTTGCAGGAGGAAAAAGATCCATTTCAAGCTCATCACAACTAAATGCAGCTGAACTAGATTAACATAAGCTGTAACTCCCGCTTCCACAAAGATTCAATTCTGCACAGAGAGGCAGAGTGTGGAAACTTTTCAAATGTGCTTTTTAAATAGGTGGGCAAAAATAATATTGACAGGGCAGAGTGCCCACACAACTAAGTTTGTGGCAGAAGGCAATTTTTCCCCACCACAGGATCACCTCAGAAAAAAAATATATCTTTACCTTACTGGTGTGGACTCAACTGCAAAGAGCAACACAGACAGATTAATCCCTTTACTGGGCTTTCAATTTAGCAAACTGTATGTGCAGAAAACTATGGTACTGCCTATAACATTAGGTATGTGGCTTAGGGAATTTCAATTACTGATTGGAGATTGTTTTCTAAATAACACATATTAGACTCTCTTTAAAAGTACTGCAGTAAAAGGTAAGAAAGAAAGCCATGTCATGAGGCAACCAATTATAGTACTATACTGTTATAGTATGGTATTTCAAGGAACACTCCTACATTTTTGGCAAACTAAAGAATCCTAGAAGCTTCGTGGGGGCAAAACAAATCCATTTCAAGCTGTTATTCCCTCTAAAGTGCCACTGGACATCTGCTTTATATTCCTGCTGCAGACTAGCACATCTGCCCATCTAGCAGTATCAAGGGTTTTTTCCAGATAGGCCTGCTAGTCAAGTGACTGGTTACTGCCAAGTACCTCATGAAGCTAAGAATAGCATCATATCGATGACAGCATCTAAATAGGCCAAGCGATACCTACACAATGGTATTCTTGGGTTCAGTAGTTCTTTGACAATATTTGACCAGTTTTTATTTCACAACAGTGTCATTTTTCAGTAAGGGCCCGTAGCCCTGCAACAGACTGGGACAAACCTATCAGCACCACAAAACTTCTCCAACTGGCCACCTGCCAGAGGTGCAGCCATTTCCAGACAGGAGTACAACAGTGGCGAGGGCCTAAGATCACCCAGGTATATTGATTTTGATTTAAATTAAGGATTCATAACAACATCAAGCTACTTTGTTTCTGTAATGGGCACATGAGCAGACTTTCTGATAACCATTGTATCGAATTCTCAACATGGTGCCATCTGCAGATCACTGGGGTCATTTACAGAGAAAGAAGTTTTTTGGTGTGTCCCCCCCAACCCCAGATTTGTCACACACAAAAAAAGCCAAAAGTTTAAAAAAAGGAGAGATGGGGGGGAGGAGAAAGCAGAGCGGCAGGATTCCTCCTCCCCCCTCCCCTAGCAAATTTCATGTGGGTCCCTGAGGCAGCACTGTTGGAGGGCGGGGGTAGGAGCAGGAGCCCAATCGGCTGTCTCCAGGTGTGTGTGTGTGTGGGGGGGGAGCAGAAACCAGCCACCTGCTCCCCATCACCATTGCTGGCCACTGTGTGAGTCAGGGCGGGGGGGGCAGTGCTGCAGGCACACTGGAAGTGGGAGCCACAACTGGGAGTGGGAGCCACCACCCACCAGCAACGGCCTGTCATGTGAGCCAGACAAGCAGATGTGGCAGCACTGCAGGTGGGCCGGCCGGCAAGTAGCTGGCCCAGTGAGCAAGCAGCAGGGTGAAGCTTGCAGGTCCCCACGGAATCTTGCACCAGTGAATCTTGCAGGTCCCGCCCCCCCAACTGTTAAATTATATTTCTGTTGTTATAAAGTTAATGCTTCATCAATGCTTAACAATTATTTGACAGTATTAGATCAACCTCTGACTAGACAAATGACTCCCCCTCTTTTCGATTGGTCTGATGCCTAACCCTAAACTTTGTACAAATGCTGTGTGAAGTTTGCAGTGGGCATGGTAACACTACCACCACCCTAAATTAGCATTTGTAAAACTGTACGGGACGCTGCTAACACGATTTTGCCCTCATCCTTTTCTTACCTTTCTAGTTAACAGGCTTTTGCGTCTCATTCCAAACGCCTCCAGCTGAAGACGCCCTCTCAGTGCCAACTCAATTAACATGCAGCCACGCAGCCCAGAGGAAATGCAATCATTCCAAAAAGATGTGTAACCCTGGTGAACAAAAAGAGTCTCAGCAAAATTTTAAGTAAATATCTGTGTAAAAGATAAATTATATTGTTACAATCACAACTTCATATGAAAGTAATTTCTGCCCTCCCTACATTTACCCAAAGGAGCTATACAATTCAGCTGTAGTCTAAATACAGGAGATGAGGGTTTTTTTTTTCTTGTCTGTGTTCTACAGCGCCCTGAGAACCATCTTGCTAATGAGGCTTCATGAAGCTGCATGAAACACATACATCTATACAGCGAATCCTGTAATGGAATCCAGACATGAAATATTGGCTCCTTTTATCATTTGGACACCACAAATTTTGACAAAATGATCTGTTTCCCAGGGTATAGGAAGTGAGATACAATTTGGTCAAAGTTAGGCTGTTAACTGATAAGAAATCAAAAACTGCAGCTGTTTCAAACTAGGCCCATGATTCTTCTGACTATTCAAGCAATTTTAACAGGCAACAGAATCCCAGGCCTAGAAAAACACATCACTTTGAAACAGGCATAATTGCTATTTCATCAGTTTGTGAGGGCAACACGATTAAAGCCACAAATGACATGCTGAAATTCGTTATCCTGGTTGAAGGAAACAAGAGATAAGTTCTCCCAAACCCCATCTAAGAGTATCCCCTCAATGTTAGCCAAGGAATTTTCAGCAAACCTGTTTCTCTCCTCCACAAAACAGATTCAAAGGAAAGAACATAGTAACGTCCCCAGCTGTCAAAACAGTTCATTTACAAGTACTATGAGTATTCCTTTAAATGCCCAATTAAAACAAAAGAAGTCCTCAACGCAAGGTATGCATGAAAGCTTTTGAACAGGAACCCATTTTCAGTACTTTGCTGATAACTCTGTGTTACAACAAACAATATTTTGTTTTGAAATTCAAAGTAGATACAGATGGTCTGTGATGTTCAGTAACTGTACAGAAATATTCAGCTATACCAGGGAACTCTTCTGAAAGAACTAAAGCAGCACCGACTGAACACAAGTATGTACATATTTGCAAGACAGGATCAAAACTGAACAGCTCCCTCTTGTTTCAACAGACATACTCAGTGCTAATGGGATACTGGAGCAAATGGCTCAAACAAACCAGTTTTTGTCTTAATGCTTTCTCCTTCTTAAAGACAGACAGGTCCCCAGCTTCTGGCTCACTACTAACAAGACTAAAATCAGGTCTCATGAATCCCACATCCTTGCAGATGGCAGACTGTGGCACAGCCTGTGGGTAACCCTGTGACCAATGTTCCCTCTAAGCTGTGGAGTCTTGTGAGCAAAAATTCTACTTTGTGAGCCACTGGCATTAAAGTTGTGAGGGAGCGATTTGACTACTGCATAAATTAGTTTGCTCTGGAGCCACCCTTCCTGAGCAAAGACAAAAAAGTGTGAACTAACTCACACTAACTCAGCTTAGAGGAAACACTGCCTGTGACACCAATGCCTACTTCCCATAAATCCCATTCTCCAATGCCTCACATTTATGCACCATATTTCAACTGTTGACAGTGTTCAGCACGTATTATCTCAAACACAACAGCTACATAATACCTTTTATCAGGACCGAGCAAAGTAATAAAAATTTCATAATATTTAAATTGGTCTTAAAATATATTATTCCTTTTGGAATTTTTTTTCTAAAGAGCAACACAAATGCCTACAATCTTTATTTTTCACTGATTTTTACAACAGTCTGATCACAGAAGCAGGTATCGTTATCCCTGTATTTTAAACGACAAGGCTGAAGTGAGAGGGAATGGCCTGCCCTATGCCTACCTACTAAATTTGTGGCCAAAATATTTCCAACAAGGCATTTCCTGGCTCATAGTTCATATATTCAGCCACTATAGCTTGTAAAACCATTTACAGAGAAGCAGCTGAAAAGAAGCAGGCCTGCTACACGACACACAAGCAATATGGGCACAGTCACCCAAGGTACACTTTCACGCCAGGGTAAGGCCTCTTTCAGATCACTACATTTATTCATATATTGTGCACAACCCAGCATTACATTCATTTCCAACGTTTATCAATAAACACTCTGTAGGCACACGTCTTACCCATTTCTAACACTCCACACAATAATCCAGTATTCAAGTTAATTACAGTGTGTGCGTGTGTGGGGGGGTTCTGTTTGGGGAAAGCGCAGCAGACGTGTCACAACCCAGGGCTTCTAAACTTTTACAAAACATACCTATTCTCACATTTCTGGTTCTCCAGATCCACCTGGACTATAAACCTCACTAGTTATACACATATATCCCCACACAGCCAGTTTTTACATACACCTTCTGCCACTTTGCCTCACTTTATCTCTGATTTCTACAAACATCCTCTCCCCAAAGCATGCTGTTCCCACCTTCAGATTACTCACTAATAAAAATGCAATCATGGGTGACCAAAAGTATCTTTGCAGTGATTGCCTGCATGACATAAGGCATCCTTCCGTGTGCATTCTTCCCGTATTTTCCCCACACCATCACGGTGAGACAGGGAGGATCTGAGCCACAACAGCTTTGTTATATCGATCTAAAAAAGAGGCCGAAAGCCAGTTCAATGAAACTTGATTGCAATTTCATTTACGAAAATACATTCCCTCTCCCCACATCCCAACTTACTACTTCTCCATGAGAAAAATATGTAATTTCTGCCACTTTCTACATCTTTGGATACAAGACATTAAGAGTCATACTCTCATCTATGATGCAGAATACATTAACATATACTGTAGCAAACTACCTATTGCCAATTCTGTTGAAAAAGATCTCCCTTTCTAGGGTCTGCAGTCTTGATTAACACCAGCCACAGAACAGCGCGCTTACTCTCTGGCATAACAAACCACTGACCTCTGCTCAGGCACAAGAAGGCTGGAGAATGGGCCATTCCACCTACTCATTCCTTTTACAATCAAGTTCTGTTTGCAGTGACTTGCTACATTACCATATCATGTGAATGCCATGATCCAGAACGTCATGATCTATAAAATCACTGACATCATGGCATGTATGAGGAATGATGCGGGGAAAGTGGCTCATGACTTGCAATATTGTTTTGGAGAATTTGTTCACTTATAAGACAGTCATGCACAATTAGAGAATTAAAATGGGTCCCCTATAAAAGGTGCATACCCCACATCCCAAAACTATACTAGGTTTTCTTCAAATACTCATTGAATCTGGAAAACTACCACTTGTGATTGTGGTGTTAATAGTGCTGTAACATTACAATTGCTCCAAGTTGTTGTGTATATTTATTTATTTATTCGATTTATTCCCCACCCTCCCCGGCGAAGTAGGCTCACTGGGAATACATAAATTCCACTGGTAATGATGGGACTTAAGCATGTTCAACTTTGCCTGGATGACCTGCTGTCATCATTTCATGCCACGGGCAAATCAGTCTTGTACAGCAGCAAAACAGGCTGTGTTTTATATCAAATGTGTACTTCCTCTTCGCAAAAAGTACAATAAAACTTGCAATCAAATTAATCATTCAAGATAGTACTAGAGCATCTGTTGGCAGAAAGGTAAGATATAAACAAATCAATAAAGATTTATCAGTGAGAACCAAGCTTGTTGTGTTGCAAGTTAAAGGGAACCCTTGTAGATTGCTCAAGGCTACTTGGGAGCTAGTGATTACTGTAAGGCAATGAAAACAAAAACAATTAAAGATGGCCTTTTCTTCTAACAATACATGACTTTTAATAGCACTGTGAATTTTTACAGTCTTCCATATCTGCAAAAGTCACCAATGCTGAGGTTCTCATAATAAGCAAATCTATTAACTGGACAGAGAGATCAATTAACATTCTTTAATCTGCTGACATTTCTTACACACAATGTATTTTCAATGACTTAACTTATTAAAAAATCTTAAGTGAAAACCACAAACTAGCAATAAAATTAAGAAAAGGGAACTGGCTCCTTGTCCACCAGGCTCCCAGATCATCCTTGTTAAAAGCTGAGTTAAGCAGCTAATAAAATATTTTTAACAGAGCTTCTAAAAGTCCACAAAAAAGAAAGGTAACAAAGGTATCTCATGCTGCTCTCTGAAACGTGAAAGCTGAGGGGACGGGAACCTTGGAAGTGGGCAACAAAGTCGGGCAAAAAGACAAAGAGCCCAACATCCACCTATGTGTACCGTGCCAGAGGGAAATTAAAGCACAGTTTTGCTAACAGCTCTTAAGGGACTGGCTGGTTCATGCAGGGAAAGCTGGTTCATCTGCCAAGATATGTTGCATCAGCTCTGCATGTAAACAAGTACGTAATAAGAGTGCACACACTGTCTTCGACGTTACTGGACACCTCAGTGGCGTTGACCCAATTATAATCCACAAGGAAGCGGCTGTCATGCATGCCGGTTACTTTCTTTCTATTAATATACAAGGCAATTCAAGTTAATCCCTCCACACCTATTAAGTCTATTCACTTTATGTAGAAGCATATTGATGGAAGTCTGGAGAGAGCTGGCTTGCAGTGTCTCAAGAGGCACAGACCCATCCAGAGAGAAGGGGGGAAAACAAGACAACCCCCCCCCCACAGCTAACACTAAGGGGCTCTGAGAAGTTCCACAGCATAGAGGTGAACTTGACGTTAGCAAAACTCAGAATGCCTTACCCCAGCAGACACATACAAAAAGCTCCAAGCTGACTACACAAAAACAATCGTGTGCGTTTTTTTTTCTCAGCTGCTGAAAGCAAGCACACTATTTCACCATAGCAGCCTGTTAACGTATCGCACCATTTCATTTTCCCAAAGCACCATTAGCTGGCGTGAGTTCATAGAGGAGCACAGATGCCCAGGAACAGATAAAATAAGATTGCTGCAGAACTAAGAGCTAATTAAAAGGAATGAACTAGCTCTTAATTCTGCAACAGGTAGCTTAGTGGCTAAATAACAAGTTGCGAGCGGGGAAGTTCCTGGACTAAAACTCTCCTAGGACTAAAACTTACATGCACACAAAATAGGAGAAGCTGCCAGAGCTATGACTTCACCAATGTTACCAGCAGGGTCATGGGTGGCAGACCAAGAGAGCTGGGGGAGACGAAACACAAGTCTCACCACAGTGAGCAAGAGGTCAGTACAGCCAGGTTGAGAGGTTCTTTGCACCAAAACCCCTCTCTCTCACCTTCCCTCCCACCCCTAGACCAGTCGCAACCTGGTCATCCAACATGCCTCACCCATGCCTGTGACCACATCTCACTAACCTGCCACTCATTGCGTTCTGGTTTTCTAGGTTTTATCAAACTGTATATTGAGCAAACTTCAGAGGACGGCGGAAGACCGGAAGGTCTGGCGTGATCTGGTCTATGGGGTCGTGAAGAGTCGGACTCGACTGTGCGACTGAACAACAACAAAATATTGAATTTTAATGTTCTGTATATTTTTATGGCATTATGCCCCCTTGTACATTGCCCAGAACCCGGCATAAGCTGGGATAGGGCCATTAACAAATCAAATTATTATTATTATTATTATTATTATTATTATTGACGACAACAACAACAAATGTGTGCAAAGAGAGGCAGAGGTGTGGTGATGTTACTCTCTATACATGAGAGCAGTTTCAGAAGGTAGCCATGTTGGTCTGCACTAGAATAGTTAGATTCGAGAGCAGACTAAAGAAGAGAGCTTTGGCTCTCAAAAGCTCATGTCCTGGAAACCTCGCTGGTCTCTTTCGTGCTACTGGACTCGAATCTAACTGTTAAATATGAGCAGGTGCTGGTTCTGGGAAGAGCCTGCTGCTCTTGCACATGGCATCTCTGGATGGACGCGATCTAGTAGGATGACTCCGTGACACCCCGAGGACTGATCTAGTGAGAGGTTTAGCATGAAAGATGTTTTCCCCTAAAACAGACACAATTACTGGCTAAAACTCAACAATTGACCTCATGAGCCTAAGTTAATACCTGAGAGGAAGACGTTGTCAGACAATCGGCCTCTCGTGGCGTCCTGCAAAACCAGGCTCAACTTTCCCAGTACCCACAGGAAAACCTTCAAGTAGCAAAAGAAATCCCACATCTGAAGCATAACATATTTCATAGAGGGAAAAAGATCAAACCTAACTTCTCTATCTCAAGTGATTTGATGCATTTTGCACCTAACACCAAGCAACCCAATCAAACCTGCAACACAACCCGTATTGTCTCTTAAAACCCCAGAAGCTGCAGATTCAGGGAGATGCCCTGATGCCCTGAATCTCTCCCCCCTCGTCACCCCTTTTTTGTACTCAGCATCAAGCCTGGGAAACTTGAAAGCTTGCACAACCATTTCTGATATCATGCTTGCACCTAATAAGATATTAAATTACTTTTGTTTTTGGAATTTTCCGTGGATCAACAGGGCTACCTAAAGCTCAGGACTTACTGATGTAATGCCAAACCATCACTTGACGTTTTGTCTTTAACCTAAGCTCTCTGTCTAAGAAGCAAACTTCAAAAACTACTACCAAAGCCTACTCAACAGGCACAGAAGAATTTCTTTGTACAAAACAAAAAAATTACACCCAGCTCTTCCTCTCCATCACTTGGTATCTCAGTCACATCTTTTCAAAACTCTCTGTGCCAGAACTATTTATCCTCGCCGCAAACCACCAAGCATTCCTTTCAAGACTCAACAAAGCCTTTCCAACCATCAGAATATTTATCTGAGCAGTGTGGTTACCTTTTCTTTGTCCCTAGATGTAGTCCCCTTCCTTCATACTTTCTTTGTAGTTTGTAGTGTATTGCAAAAATAAAAATATCCCTCCGGGAATTTAATTTTTTTTTTTTTAATCTGAGCACAGGAACTTAGCTCTCCCAACTTAACCAGTTTTACAGTCACAAACTCTCTCTATTGTTTTCGATGTTCCTTACACCCAAAACTCTTAACTATATTTTAACAGTTAGTGTTAAAGAAGTTTAACACTTCTATTCCCTGACATTGGATGCAAGCTGAGCAAGAACACACAGTGTATATATAACACCTATACTATAATGCCTGTATTAGTTACCAGTTTACTTACAGGCCCAATTCAAAATGCTGGTCTTGACCTTTAAAAGCCTATACAGTCTGAACCCAGAGGATATGATGGAGCACCTTCTGCTATATGACTCCAACCTACCCAGAGTTTAAGATAGCTGATCGGGCTTTGCTCCAGGTATAATCTTTTCAAAAAGACTGGCTTCCACCAGGAACATAGTCTCTTTGATTGTGGCTCCAGAGCTGTGGCACATATGCCCCTCCCCAACTGTGTGCAGTCACTTGGTCTTGGAGTGGGGGGGGGGAAGACACCCAAAATCTTTTTTTATTCTTCTAGATTTCCAAAATTTAACTACAATCAATGGAAAGTGTGGTTTGCTTCCTTATAATTCTACATTTGTTTTAAAATGGTAAAAAAATTATTATAAACATTTCAGGCAATATATGAAGACAGGAAACAATAAATGTAAATGTAATATGTAATGTATATCATCTTTCTCTTCTCTGATTCCTTTTCTTCAATGTTAGGTGCCTATTCGGTAAACTCTACAGTCTCTTTAGCTGTGCAAAGAGCCATACACGCTGGGCAGAATGACACTGGCTGCAAATTGATGGTCAGCAAAAGTATCTTACCTCCTCCTCTCCTGTACTCCATTTTACCCCTTACAACAATCTTGTGAGGTAGGTCAGACTGGCACAAGGCATGTGATTGGCCCAAGGTCATCCAGCAAGCTTCCAAGGCAGAACAGGGAATGGAAAAATACAACTCCTCTAAACTATTAACTTGTGGTAAGAGCTACAGTGAAATGCTTCAATGACTAAAATTTTGAAGAGGAAATTAACAATTTGATATTTTTCAGATGAACGCAAAAGCTACTACTAATTCCCAACAGTTCATTGCTATCTCCTTGCAGGAGGGAATAACATACCATGTCACAAAGGATACACAGCATTAAAGCTGTTTCAGCATGTTGGGTTTCTGTAGGTACAGCATTTTATAGATTGCATTCCAATGCTGGCAAAACCACTGACAGAATGAATTCATTAAGATGTAAAACAAAAAAAGATCTGCGACTTGAGGTGGTTTTCAAATGGCTGGTCACATGTAAAGGTGGGGGAGGGAATTCATGTTCAAGCAAGGAGGAGGCTCCCCAATAAACAGTTATCATCTTTGACGGTAGACTTATTTCCATTTATTAATCGCCTATCCCCAAAACTGTGGCACTCCAGGCGATGTACAAAGTTCTAAAAGCATAAAAACATAAAAACCATGTCCAACAACATACAGTAATTAAAAGCAAGTGGCAAAATTTTATAGCTCCTTCCCACATCTGGTGAGTGCTTCACACATTCGGGGGGGGGGGAGTAAGTTCTATAAGGAGTGGAGGGTCCAGGTAGGGTGCCAGCCATGATGCTAACCATTGCTATCCTCATCTGAATGCCTGGCGGAACATCTCTGCCTTACAGGCCCTGATGGCAGATCATCTTCTTGAGTTTTGTACAGCATTTAATTTGCTTTACATCCTCGATATAGAGACTGACTTTGGCTGATGATACCTTATGAACAGACAGGGCCTACTGCCAGGTTAACATGTGGTTCATTACATATACATTGCTATTTTCATTGCACCACAAATACTTTTGGCCCTGAAGACGCTTTCCTAGCACTGCAAAGCCCAACTTGATCTCATGTATAATAACTGGGATTCTGGAGGCAAGTCTCCCATACTCTTCACGTGAACCTTGAAAGACCTGTCACCCTTTTTGTAATTCAAATTCCTATCTTGCCATTCCTTCATTTCAGTTCCGTGCCAAAGAAAAACCTGACCACTGAGAGACAGCACAATAAAACCATTGCTGAAAGTACTAGGTGCCACAATTAAAATACCAGGCACAGTGGTGACCTGGCACCTGGGATTTGTTGAGCCCTGAAATAGGAATATAATACTACTGGCCTATTCAATAGGGTTGACTCCGACTGAACAACAACAACAAACAGTTACTAAACATGTATATGAAGGGGGGGCATATAAATACTTTTGTTGTTGTTTTTAGGTTGTACATTTCATAAATACTTTTGTTGTTGTTTTTAGGTTGTACATTTCAAGTCTATCCAGAAGGCCTGTATATCATCAAAGGGTGCCAGAAGTTAATTAAGTAATTAGTTATCTTTTGCTTATGGAACGACCTCTGTAACTTCATATTTTGTTTTAGCATACAACTTCCTACCAAGATGCTACTATATGAGCTTTGGAACATTTTAAACAGACAGACTGTGAGTAGTTGAGTCTGTGCAAGATTGTTAAGGCAACCAGACAAGAATTTATTCTTTTGAAGAACTGCCAACACTGCTATTATGGGAAACTATTCAGCCATAACTATGTTATGATTTATCT